CAGTATGGGTAACATTAGTGCTCTTATACAGGAGGCCCCGGAGAGCTAGCTCCTCCTTCTGCCATGTGAGAACACATGGAGAAGTCTGCAAGCCAGAAGAGAGTCCTCACCCGACCATGCTGTCACTGAGAAATCAATCTCTGTTGCTTGTAAGCTGCCCAGTTCAGGAATTTTGTTGTAGCAGCCTGAAGAACTTAGACCCCGAGGGAAGAACTTAGACCCCGAGGGAGAATTGTTTCTTCTCCCTGCTGCACAACCCTTTGCCCCTGGTTTCTAATAAGCTGCAATCTCCCAAATGTCCTACCAGAAGCAATGTTTCTTCTCACTTGTCTGCAGCACTGTGTCCGTCCGTTGTGGTTTACCTCCCCGGACACAGGGTTTGCCTCTAGCACCATTTCCTTTCATTACTTCCAGCAGTTGCATTGTCTGAATGGATACAGAAACTTTCTGCACAATAGTCCCTGTGTTTCTACATGGAACACTTTCTTCTCTCATTCCAAACTTTCTACATCCTTACGTTTCACGGGTTCCTCTTAGAAGTAATATATTGTTTTATTTTTTTATAGCTATAGTATTGAAAGTTTTAATGTAATGGAGGTGGTCTTTTCCTCTAGAAATTAATCTATATAAATTTTCTGTATCACATTATTTCTGTTTCTATATGTTCCATCTGTTCTATCCTCACCCCCATTTCTTATATTCTTTGGATATACAGAGTTTATTTTAACCATTTCATTTTCCTTTCATGTACTATTTTAAGAGTGGCACAGCCTGTTTCTAATTTTCCCTTCTTACCCAAGAAATGACAGTACAAATATTTTACTAGTCAAACTCAAGTATAATTAATGTTTATCTTTCTCTTCAATCCCTTTGTGACTTGCATTTACTATTGCCATATCTTTTAATTCTATTTTGTTTATTTTAGTTTATTCCTGCGATACATCATTATATTTTCAAGTAGCTGGTGCTTGCTTAGATTTTTCTGACATTTTAACACTTTGTTCCTCAGTTTTTATTGCCCCCTAAATCTTTCAGTTGGGATGGAAATACAGTCTTTAAAAACCCTTGAGTACAGTTTATATTTTCTTTTTGAAAAGAATTTTATTTTGGCCATATTCTTGAAATATATCTTTGCCAGGAATTAACTTATCTGTTGACAGTTACTGATCTCAGCACAGAAGGAAATATCCTCTATCTTTCGGCTCCAGCTGTTGCTTCTGGGAAGTCAGCTTAGTCTGGCGGTGGCTTTGTGAAGCTACTGTGTTTTGCTACTTTGGCTACCTCAAAGTTTATCATTTTATCTTTTACTATTTGAAGTTTTACTATAATGTGTCTGGGTGTGAATTTCCTTGTATCTTAGCTGCTTGAGATTTCCTTCTTGTCTTAGTCCTTTGGGGATCCTATGACCCAAACACCATAACCTGGACGGTTTATGAGCAACACTCATTTCTCTCAGTTCCTCTCACTGTGACTTCACACGCAGAAGGAGCAGGAGAGCTCTCTCCGATCTCTTTCACAAGGGCACCCATCTCATTCCTGGGTGCTCTGCCCTCATGACCCAGTCACCTCCCAGTGGCCTCACCTCCCAACACTGTCTGTCACCTTGGGAGTTAGGTTTCAACATGTAAAATTGGGGGGACACAAACATTGCGACCATAGCATTTTTTATTCTGAAATGTGAGGGTTGAGATTTCTCATCAGTTCTCATCTCAGCTAAGATCTTTTTAAATAGGACTTTCACCATTCGCTCTCTTATCTCCTCTGGAAATTTGAGATACACGTTTGATGTATTTTATATCCACATCACTACACTTCTCTCATTGTTTGCATATTTTATCTTTCTGTGCTGTATCCTGATTTTTCTTCTGTCAATTCTCTGTTCAAATCTAGTATTAAAAAATGGGTAATTGAAAAGATTTTAATGAAGGGCTGTTTGCAAAGGTGCAAATAGGATTAGGGAAAACCAAGAAGAAATAGTAATATAGCCTTGGCTTAGCAGAAAACACCTACCACCCCTGGCTCTTAGGAGGGGCTGCCATGGGCCAGCAGGAAAGAAGCTAGGGGGTTAAATGCTCAACTTTGTTCTTCTTCCCGCATCTGATAACCCAATGGTGTTCTAATAATCTCCTAATAGCCAAACCCATGTGGAAGACATGTGGGCAATGAAGCCTGGAATGTAGAACAGGACAGAGAGGATGGAGAATACATTTAAAGGGGCAAAAGAAAACTATACCACTCAAGTGTATGCTTCAGTAAAATAGCACCACTATTCCTAAATCAAACAGATTATTCTTAAACTTCATGTTTTCCATTAATGTTATATGCCAGCCCGTTACGTTGTTAAAGAAGAAACAACATAGAAAGTGAATATTCTCAAACTTTCTAAAAGTTACTTCTAAATATTTCTAGAGTTTGTGTAAAACATCAATAAAACTTTTCCCGAAGAATTGACTCCAACGTGATCTGAAGCATATTTGTGTTTTCTTCTGTGGATCTGTAAGTTTGACTTCTCATAAATCTTTTGGCTGTATCATGAGCAGAGAAGTAATCAAGGCAGAATATGCCACAATACATGTTCACAACTAAAAGGCTATAATAATTTATATATCTAACTTTTTATTTTTATTAGAAAGTATTATATTTCACAAAATTAACAACAGAAATATTATCAAATATATTAAATTATATAGTTCTGTTGCTAAGTATAACTAATGATGAAATTGGCTCATTGATACATCTTGTTAAAAAGCGTAAGACAGTTGGCACAGGTTTCTATCTCAGGGCTGAAATTCATGGAGTGAGGAAGCCAAGTGAGAGGTAACACAGGGATAATAAAATCTGAATTTTCTCTTGAGTACAATAGTGTTCTGCCTTCTTCCTTCAATGAAATAGTGCTAATTTCTAGGAATTGTCATTAAAATGTTGATTTCTGTATTTTTAAAGAAAAGGGAAAAATGTTATTTAAGCATTACCATCTTAAGCTTGCTTGCATTTAATTCAACATGGCACAATCTTTCACAATGTAAACAACATAAATCCTCTCTGATTTAATGTACACAGCTCTGAATCCCATTCCTCAAATTCTCAATGCCTTTGACCTCTGTGGAAATGATGTTATTTTAATTGCATATTGTGGCTTACTATCACAAATTTTTTCAATAACATTGCAATGTGCCTTAGTCACTCTTGTTTTAGATGCTCTTGATTTGTTCTCAATGTTTCTTATAGATACCCAGGGTTAATATGCTATTACAAATGTCCTGGTCACCCGCGAATTGTGCTTTAAAGCTATCCTAAGGTAACAGTTCCTCCAGCTTCCATAGCCAGGTTTTGGCCACAGTGCTTGAAATTCCTGTCACTAATAGCATTATGAAGTTCAAGATACCTCTTAAAATATTAAACAATGTTAATGTTAGGCTGTTAAAATAATTAGTGCAATGCATTGAGTAACTGTAGTTTTGAAAAGACCACAAAATAATGGAATATAGTACATAGAAATGTGGATGGGGGGTAACTTACTGAGGTAGTTCTTGGGTATGGTCTACTGTTTTAGATTATTGTTCTAAACCAGACACCAAAATGAGAGTCCTCAGTAAGTTATTTTTAATTGAACTAAAGGGGATAATAACAAGTTAGATGATTGGTTCTTTATATAATGTGTTTATTCTCTTATGTACAAAATAAGCAAGTCCCATTTCTTTGTACTAGAAAGTACATATTAAAACTAGGTAAGTTGAACTGTTTATTTGGGTACTCATTATAATGCACTGTGCTTTAGAATTAGGTATATCTAAGACAAAAAAAAGTCATTTTATTAATTCTAAGATATACCTCTCTTTGGAGAATGCTTTAAACCCACACATATTTTTCACTATTGAAATTAATCCTCAACCTTTTTAAAGTTTTTCATCAGGACAGTTCCACAGTTAAATGAATTACAAGTATCCCTCTCTATTGTCTTCTTTAAAAACAACAACAACAACAACAAAAAAAAAACCCGCCTGATCTCAATGGGAAATAAAGTGGAAAATTTCACACCATCTTTTTGTTTTGTTTTCTCCAGTCTTTTCCATTTGAATTACAAAATATATTCCATTTTTAAAAAAAATTCACTTGGTTATACTTGAGCATCTTTAAATCTATAATACAGACAAACTAATTTCCAAAATAAGAATATGGCATCAGGAAAAGAATCCCAAAGATGCTTCACACTGAATTGGAGTGGTTACTTATGAGAATAACTGCTAATGGTCCCACCTGGCCATTTTCTTCAGCTGTGTGCTGAATTCTCTTCCGAGAATCAAGAGAGAACTTGTATAGAACAATAAGTGTCAACCCCCCTCCCCCCGCTCGATTTCCCTTTCCTAACTGAGGTGTTGGTTCTGCATATCACTTTAACTTTGGCTGCTCAACTTCTAACCGCTTGACATGCTAGGCTTCCAAATAACATTCATACATAAATATTTGAAAACCATCACAAAGGATGAATATTGTCATTTGAATCACCTACCTTTTAGGACTCAAGTGGCAAGAATTGTTATTGACATTGTTATGTAATGAAAATTTATCGAGATTCTACAATAGTTAGAGTTGATTTTTAAAAATAAATTTGTATTAATGCAGTGAATACCACCATATACTTAATTCTAGGATAGTTGTAAAGATATTGTTTTACATTCTGTTATTCCAAATGTATTCCAATAATAGCTGAGAACCAAATATGTGACAGGTGCCATGAGACATGCTGTAGTAAACGTGGTTAAGACATTTTCTAGTGTATTGCTTTTCAGTATAGTGTTATTAAAGATAACAGGTCTTACCTAACTACCTGGCTTAATCTATGGTAATAGCTAGCACAGGCTGCTTCGAATTTATATACAATTTTAGGATTAAATCTTATCTATATGTTTTTGTTTTTTTTTTAACATACATTAAATGCATTGGATTAGTTTCAAATATGTTTTTTTTCCTCTCTCATTTCCTCCATTCTTCTGTCCTTTTTCCTGTCATCCAACAGATATTTATTAAGTGCCTTTTATTTGGAAGTACCTAACATAGAATAAAAACCAAGAATGTCTAGTTATTAATTCCGTCTAAATTTAAGATGCAAATTACTTACAATATATGTGTAATTTGATTAACATTTACAATTTGAGGCAAAAATAAAATATTTTTTTGGGTTTCCTAACTTAATACTTATAGTCTAAAAAATAATCCAAGTAGAAATTCTAGAAACCTTATCTTCAACTAAAATACCATAGCACCATCACATTTGCATTTTTATTGCTTACTACTTACCAGGAATAGAATTAAACGATTAACAGGCACATCTTTATTTAATGTTCATGACAACTCCATGAGGTATATCGTATAATGGTCTTTATTTTATCAGTGAAGAAATGAACACAAAGATAACCGAGTGCCTTGTTTTCTACATCATGTAAACAGCAGAGCCCTCTGGCTTTCAGTCTGACGCCAGAGCCTATGTTCTTGAGACTGTACAACACTCCTTCATGTTGAAATAAGCACCTCTACTTTCTCGCCATTGACTCAAGTGCCTTTCAGCTTGTCTGCATTATTTCTTTGATGCTCTGTTGCATATGTTTTTATGGAAATCTGTTTCCCACATCTTTAGGAGACACACTTATTTAGCACAATAAGCTACTGCTTGGTCCTTTTATCATGAAACTTCTTCAGAAGCTCCTGTCAGATCATTAAAATGAAACATGGAGCTCTTACAAAAACTGGTCATTACAGTACAATTTAAAGGTGACACTTTCAAATTATTGTGGTAATCTCAAGTTCTTTATGTACAGAATAGAAGATCTCATCTTGGGAGTAGGACAGGTGTTATTTATTATTTTGTTCCTTAGCCAAAGAAAGCAAATTTTTATTAAAAAAAAAAAATACTAAAAACAATCAAATGGAGTTTTATTTTTCTAAAGTATGTGTGGCTTGGCTTCCTTTTTCCTTCCTTGATTGTTGAGACTCTTTAGGTTTTATATTTTCTATGGAAAATCCTCTTTCTTATTTACCCCTCTTTTCTCTTTGATGTTCTCATAAATATACTCTGTTTATTTTTTACTTTTAGAAAAGAGTTCTTGAAGTGGGAGTTAGCTACATTGTTTCTCAGATTTTGCTGCTGGGTAACCCTGGACCACATGAGTTTGAGCTGGCATCCTGAACTCCATTGGAGAAGTTTATTTATTTATTTCTCTGTACCCAGTGGTACATGAACTACATTCTTTCTGGAGTTCTGGCACATTCATAGTCAAAGCATTTTACTCTTCAGCCCTAAAAAATATGGTCTTTCTTCTTTGTATATTGTTGACACTACTGCAGATGTCCCCATTTTCCCCCTTTACCCACATCCACCCAGCACCCAGCACCCACCCCCTCTGGCCATCATCACACTGTTGTCTGTGTCCATGGGCTATACATATATGTTCTTTGGCTAATCCCTTCACCTTCTTTATCCAGTCCCCCTAGTACTCCTTCCCCTCTGACCTATCAGTCTGTTCCATGTATTCATGCCTCTAGGTCTAGTGAGTTCATCAGTTTATTTTGTTCATTAGATTCCACATATAAGTGAGATCACATGGCATTTGCCCTTCTCCGTCTGGCTTACTTTGCATAGCATAATAATATTCAGCTCTCAATCCTAACTGTTTTTAAAAGGAAGATTTACTTATTTGGTTTCTCTGTAATTAGCCTAGACTTTTTAATGTGTAGAAAACACACACGTGAGGAAGTGACATTATATTTTAGTCTAGTCTGGTAATTAAGTTTGTTTCTTTAGATAACTTAGGTTCTACTTGCATGCCCCACCTAAGTCCTGTCACAGTTTTCTGCTCTCCCCGTCTTCACTCTTCTGGGTGTCAATAGTGAGATGTCTCACCAGTGGAGAGGTGATGGGTTCTCACATTCACCTGGTCATTTGCTCAATTCTGGAGTGGAGCACAAACCTGACCTGCGGATTGGACATACGACTGCTGAGCTAGAACTGGTACCACCCCTGGACAAAGGGTGGGAAACTTGAGATGGAAAGAAACTTTCTTTTTCTCCTTTTAGTTAAGGCACTATCCTCTCCTCTGCTGACGTGGCCCCATCTCAGCCACTTTATCGTCAGCAGGCAAGCACGCTAGCCTGACATCTCAGGGGCAAGTGGGATCTTGAAGGGCAGCTCAGGACAGGCAATACTAGGAGTGTTGGGAGTTCGGGGCTAATTTTTTCCCAGAAGAAAACTATGAAACAGGGCAGTACTTAACCCTAATAATTTTTTTCAAATGTGTGTGCGATTTAAAAAAATCAATACGTATTTAATGAAAAAACACACCCCTATATTTCAGTGACCTTAAGATGTCTGAATGTTCCTGAAAAGCAGTTATTTAGGATAACTAAGGTTTTAAGTTTTATAATTAAGCGTAGCTACAAAGGTCAAGTGAATTGGGAAGCAATAAAATGACATAGTTTGGACAATGAAGGTTAAAGACTCATTGAAAAAATTCAGGCTTCTTAAGAAAATTAGGATTACCTATATTTTTTCCTGCATTGGGAAGCACTAGAAAGTAATGGTTTAGAAGAGTGTCTCTTCCTGAATTCAAATTTTGCCTCTTTCATTTAGTTGCTGTGCAATCTTGAGCATGTTACTTAATCTCTCTAATCTCAGTTTCTTTGTCAAACAGGGCATCATAACAATGCATACTTCATAGAGGAATTTAGAATAAAGAAAAAATAATTTCTTAGCATAGTATTTAGCATTTAATAATACTCCATAATAATAAATGTGGTTACAGGCATTAAAATGATGTTATGCAGTCCCATAGTACTAAGACATAGACTTGAATCCTTTGTTTTGAAGTTTCAAGTCGTTTGTGGCTCTTCCTCACCACAACCACCATCCTGGTCCTGCGCCAGCCTCTCTTGCTGGTAACACACTATCGTTTTCTAAATTGCATATACCTTTGTCTATTCTAGCCTCTCTTCTAAATTGCCCTACATATTTTAGTCCAGGGACTTATTTAAAACAGCAAACTTAGTCTTGTTTATTCTCTGCTTTATACCCTGATAGTGCTTCTTATTACCTTGAATGAAAACAAACCTCTTAATGCAACTGATTATTTCCTCCTTGGTTTGGTCTCTCTCTCTCTCTCTCTCTCTCTCTCATCCCTTAGCTTCACATCTGTACACAATCTTTCTGCAGCCATACTTGGGTCTGTCAGCCCCTCCATATTTCAGTATCCTTTCCTGATGCACACATGTTACTATAACTGTTCTTGTTTTTGTTTTTGTTCTCCCCTCTTTACCTATTTAACTCCTATTCATCCTCCAGCTATTAGCCTAAATATATTTTCAGAAAGGAGTTACCAGCTGACCTGCACACCTGGTTTATATTGCAACATATTTCCTTTTCTTAGCACTATAGACCCTTTATTTTGGAAAACTTGACACAAACGCATTTGTGTGTGTGTGTGTGTGTGTGATCATTTGATGAATGTCTTTCTACTCCCACTGGATTATGAATCTGTTAAAGGCAAAACCTATGTATCTTTATGACTCCCATTTTAAATCATGCACCTGGCAAAGAGGCTGACCATGGCCAATGGTCAATCACTAGTCTTCACCTTATTCAATGTCTTAGTGGTATTTTATACCATCATCTTGAAATAATAACCTTGTAATCCAAGATATTACATTTTCCTGGATTTTTTTCTACCTTTTTGAGAGTTCCTTCTCAGACTCATGTGACATATTCTCCTTTTCAAATCTCTAGAATTTATTTTGTTTTGTTTGTTTTTTGTTATCCTCACCCGAGGACATTTTTTCATTTTTTGTTCAGGTAGAGTGGGAGGGAGAGAGAGGAACAGAGAGAGAGAGAGAGGGAAACATTGACGTGAAAGGGACACATCTAGTGGCTGCCACCCGCATGACCAACCAGGGCTGGGGACAAACTGCAACCGAGGTACATGCCCTTAGCGGGAACCGAACTCGGGTCTCTCGGGACCACAGGTGGATGCTCTAACTTCTGAGCCAAACCGGCCAGGGAAAATCTCTAGAAATTAAAATTCAGTATTAATCTGTATTTTTTCTCTCTGTGCATTCACTGCCTAAGGATTTTATTGTTTCTCAAGACTTTAAAAGAATATACAGGGTGGGGCAAAAGTAGGTTTACAGTTGTGAGCACATGCAACAGTTTATTTTTGTATTATGATTTATTAACTATTAGTTTCCATATGAACAACTGTAGACCTACCTTTGGCCACCACTGTATTCAGTAGTAACACTTCAATCTATTTCCCCAGTTCTAGCTTAATGCTGTGTTTGAGAATCTCACACTGTCTGTGCAACATCTCCTTTGAACACCTCATAAACATTTCAAACTTCAAAAACCAAAACTGAGTCCATAATCTTCCAAAAATCTAATCTATTCCCAGTTTCCCTCAATTCCATTCTTATAGTTTTTCAAATAAACACTTGGAGATTATCTTTGACTTTTCTCTTTCTTACAAGCCCACTTTCCATTTTCCATAAACTCAACTAGAAGCATTAACTTGAAAGGATGTACTGACTATAGCCACCTGACCAACCTCTGTGCGTCCCAGCCTCCTCTGAGCATCATGAACTCTTGCTTGGTATATTGGCATAGTATCCTGAAAAGTTTCTTTGTTTCTTCTGTTGTCTCTTTCAGTCTGTTAACAATAAAGCAGCCAAAGAAATATTTTTGAAACATTAACCCATATCATAATTACCCTCTAATAACTTCTCACATTTTTAATAAAATCCCATGTCATTGCTATTATCTGAAAGTCCCCACATGCTGTCTCCTAGATCTATCTGAGCGCACAACCTTTTGTGACCCTTAATTATTTTGCTTCATCACACTGGATTTTTTTGCAGTTTTGGTGGGTTTTTTTCTGTACTTTCTCTTCTCTTCTGTATAATATTATTTTTCCCCAACAAGGTTCGTGTTTCACATGGTGCTCCTATCATCTCCACAAAGAGAAATACCCTATCTTAAAGGTGCACTTATAACTCTATTCTCTTTATTTTTATTACAGAATGTTTATGTGCCTATAACAAATAATATATGTCTGTATATTTAGGGCTTTTGGTTCATGCCTCTATATACAGAATATACATTTTATAAGAATAGAATCATCCTTTATTTTAGTATGGCATAACTACTACTTTGAAAAGCACTAGGCATTTATCATGTGCTCAATAAATACATACTGAATAGATACATAGTAAGAGTTGAACACATAAGTGGTGAATAAATAAATATACGAAAGAAGGAATGACTTCTACTTCCAACTGTGTAGGAATAGTCTGCATCAGAGAAAGCCTCATAAAATGCATAACTGGAAAATCTGTGAAATGCTTAATAACTATGACCCAAAAGTGGAGAAGTACCGTAGCATTGAAAACGTGAGGGAGCCGTGATCAAAGAGAGAATCAAAGTACGGAAGTGAGTACAATGTTCCGGGTAGATATTTCCCTAGAGCCGAAACTGTTTCTGAGCTGAAACATCCCGGTCTAGGAGCCAAGTAGCTGAAATCTCTGAGACACAAAAGCAAGTGATGAAGAGGTCCAGAGGCAAATATCAGAGAGGCAAAGAACCAAGAGAAAACTGACTGAGACATGGACAAACAGAAGAGTCGTAGACAGTTTTTTAATTAGAAAAAAGAGCAGCCAAGGAAGGGTCACCCAGGAAAACATGGATACAACCTATGGATACAATTGTAATCTTTAGGGTAAGCACTAGATGAATGAGCTAAGAAGTCTACAGGGACAACGTGTGCAAGTGAAAAAATATTTGAATAATCAGAAAGAAGGCAAAAAATGAGAGAAAGAATATAGAGAAGGTGGATAAGTGAAATGATTAGCAGTAACAGGAAGTGCTCTTAAGTAAACAATGTTAAGTGAATAGTGTCATAGTACTTTAATTCACTTTAGTCACAGAAGGCCAGATACTGCATACTCTCATTTATATGAGGTATCTAACACATTCAAACTCACAGAAGCAGGGAGGAGAATGCTGGTTGCCAGAGGCTAGGGAAGGGGGAAGGACAAGGACAGAGTTCAGGGGGTATCAGGTTTCAGTTGTGAAAGATGAGGAAGTTCTAGATAACTGTTGTACAATATGATGCCTATAGTTAACAACACTGGATTGTGCTCTAAACATTTAAGAGGGAAGATCTCATGTTAAATGTTCCTATCACAAGAAAAACAATTTCTCTGAGAAATTGCCTTTATTTTGAGCTCAAAATGATTCCTGTGATTTTTTTAAAAAAAGAAAAGTTAGGCAGACATTACTTCTGTACTATTTTAAATTTTATGGCTTTTATGTGTGCATTATTTTGATGATTTTAATTTTATTGTAATATGAACAGAACTCTAACAATTTTTTCTTGATGTAAAAATTTCTTCTTGAGGTTGAGAAAAGGAACACATAGCATATTTTCTATGCATTTGCTTTATCAGAATTTAAGTATTTTAGAAAAAAAATCATTTAAACATATTCAATATAAAAAGTAGAGTTTTAGTAAACAGTTTTAACTTATAAATATCACTGTTTCAATGACAACAACGGTATTTATTTACAAAGAAAATGCCATTAGAGTTATATATAATATTCTTCTTTGATAAAAGATTCCTTTATGATAGATAACCAACCCTATAATTTGATTCCATAATAACCAACATTAGTATTTAGAGATTTAATTATGCTATTTCTTGGATTGAAATTGAATTTTCTATGATGAGACACCAATCCCCATTCATATGTTAAGTTGTTGAGATAAGAGAAAAAAGAAGGGGGAAACAGAGAAATCTTAAACTTTAGCTCCATTTATTCTACAAACATTAAAATACCAATTCTGCATTTTATTGTGCTTTTGTGTTTGTTTAGAGGTTCTTGATCTGTCTTTGCTATTGAAAGTATACTCATTTTACACATTTGTCTAAACCTGGATGTCTCTTTTTTTCAAAGCAAGGATTTTATTATAAATTTCAAAATGAATTACAGTGACAATATTCATTTAACATGTGTTTACAAGCACTTCCCTTGTTCTGATGATACACAAGCAGACAATCTTTCTTTCTAATATTTCTCACAATTTATTTTCATCATTGTTATTTCAGAAAGAAAGTAGTCAATTATTTTACACTTATCTTTTGTATAACAACTACTGGGAAGTAAACTGCAAACTGAATTGTAGCCAGAGATTCATTCAAAACTACATAATAGAGAATATGATATATCCTCTATTTATATGACAGCAAAATGTTTTTATAAAGAGTCAACCAGGAGAGTTGGGACTTTGTTTCATGAACTAAGTTTTGAAATCCTTTATCTTTTACCTGTAAAAATAATCTGTACCTCTTGGGGTTTTCTTTCTTGAAAGTTTATACCTACAAATTCAAATTGTTTAGTACATATAAGAATATCAGAGCCCTGGCCGGTTTGGCTCAGCGGTTAGAGCATCCGCCTGCGGTCCGGAGAGACCCGGGTTCGGTTCCCACTAAGGGCATGTACCTCGGTTGCAGTTTGTCCCCGGCCCTGGTTGGTCGTGCGGGTGGCAGCCACTCGATGTGTCCCTTTCACATCGATGTTTCCCTCTCTCTCTCTCTTCCTCTCTCTCCCTCCTACTCTATCTGTGCAAAAAATGGAAAAAATGTCCTCGGGTGAGGATAAAAAAAAAAAAAGAAAAAAAAAAAGAATATCAGATATTTCTATATTATATAACTGTTTCTTCTTGCATGTTTCAAGAATTGAATTTCAGCCCTGGCCCGGTGGTATTTGGTTGGAGCATCCTCCTGTACCCCAGTAGGTTGCGGGTTCCATCCTGGGTTGGGGCGTATATGGGAGGCAACCAATCAATGTTTCTCTCCCTTCCTCTCCTCCTCAAATCAATAAACATATCCTCGGGGGAAGATTAAAAAAAGAAAGAAATTGAATTTTATGTAATTATCAAATATATAGTTACAAAGTCCTCTGTAGTATTTCTTAATAATCCTGTGATATCTGAAATATCTATAGTGATGTGGTTTCTCTCATTTCTGTTATTGGTCAGAGAACCAGTTTTTGTTGTGTTGACATTCTATATACATTTTTGTTGTTTTTCTTACTTTCTTTTCTAGTCTAATGGTTTGTCCCTGTGTATTCTTTTTTGATTAGGTTATATGTGTTCTTTTTCTGGTTTCTTAAGGGAGTGCCTACAGTCATTGGTTTGGGACTTTTCTAATACAGAAACTTAGTGCTGTAAATTTCCTTTTCTAAACATGTTTTTAACTGCATTCCACAAACTTTGATATGTAAATTTTCATTTTTGCTTCCCTGAGTATATTTTCTAATTTCCCTTGATACTTCTTTTACCCTAGTCTTCAGCTAGTTTTCTTAAAAACTACTTTAAAAGGAAAAAAATGAATATAATTTTATCTACATGTATTCCATTTCCAGTGTTTTTCCTTTTTTTTTTCAGATCTAAGCTTCTATCTGGTATTATATTCTTTCCAACTACAGTAAATGACTTCCTTTTAGTTTTGAAATTTAAGTCAAGTTGCCATGAATTCTCTTAGTTGTTGTGATCATGTCTGAGATAGTCTTTACTTCTCCATTTGATATTTTTGGTATAAGACTGTTGTCCAAATGACTTTGTGTCAGATACCAGACAAACCTAAAAACAAAATGATAGCTTTACAGTATAAAAAATTGTCAATTGCTTTTATACTGTAAAGTTATCACTTTGTTTTTCGGTTTGTCTGGTATCTGACACAAAGTCATTTGGACAAAACTCATCTCAAAATGGGTTAAAGACTTAAATGTAACACTTCAGAGTCTAATCTGATATACAGCAAAATAAAGACGGAAAGACCTGTTAAATGTATAAGTAAGTCTAAATAAATGTTGACTAAAAATGTCTAATTCAGTTGATTAAAAAATGAGACTAAAATGATGGAAAAAATTAACAAATAAGAATAGAAAGGATTAACAAAGTTTTTTATAATTTCTTTTATGGTTGGAAGAGGAAAGAAATAGTAATTTTAAAATATATTTTTAAGTACACATTAAAGTTTTAAGATGTCAATTTTATCCACATCGATCTATAGTTTGAAGAATTGGTCAATCACAGAAAATAGAACAGCCCCTAGAAAAGCCCCCCAAAATCTTTGGAAAGACTCATAAAGCTGACTTTAAAGACTTATTACATGTTTCTATTAAAGTGTGCTAGTGCCAAAACATAAAAAAATACATTTTTAAAAATGGACCCAAACGTAAATGGAAAATTTACTTTCAACAAAAAAGACACCAAAGAAATGCAATGGGGAAAAGAAAGTGTTTTCAACAGATGGTGTTGAAACAATTGTATGTCCATATGGAATTCATGGACTTCAACTCCTACTCCATTCATTCACAAGAATTAATTTGAGATAGATCATAAGTGAAAAAAAAAAAAAAAACCTGAAGGTAGGCAAAGATTCCTTAGACAGGGTGCAGAAAGCACTAATAGTGAAATAGTAATGAATACATTGAATTGCATTAACCTGAAAAATTGCTAATCATAAGATCCATTTTAAAAAAAAAAAAAAACAATTAAGACCTGGAAAAAGAAAGGCATGAGAGAACTTTCTGGAGGAATATATTTTATAACAGTGCTGTGGATTACATGCTTGTAAATAATCATTA